ATTACTTACATGCATGTGCAATGCTTGAAATTTTACAATTTTGTACTTGCCATTGGACGTTTCAATATCATGTTGTGGAGGTTATTGTTTAGCAACGTGTAAATGGACTCATTTGGAATATTTCAAGCATCGATTTAGCGAGAGTATTGTGATTTGAGGTGCGCTGTAGATGGTACTTTGTAGGCCGAAACGAGAGCTACATTTCGTCTTATAACTTTTTTTCTGAGTGTAATTTTTGCAGAAATTATTCCACGAAGCCCCCTCGGGTCTGTCGACTATTGTGAACCATCTGTAGGATGTGCCATATTGCCAAGGATGACGTCGAACAATTCCTCCAGGGGCATGTCGAGGAAAATGAATTTCCAATGAATTTGTGCAACATTTGTGGCGTGTTCTGACCAAACATGCCACTTGGCGCGCGAAGTTTGATGGATCAGATCCACCCGCGCGCGTGAAGCCACTGAAGGTGACGCCTAAGGATGGAGGTGTTCCGTACCGATGTAAAGTTCGGAAGCACAACCTCTTTGAGGACAGGTTCCTCAATGTGTTTTCGCGTGAGTAATGTAACGCGGGGTGATCCGGAGCCACCTGCATAGTGCGTGGTGTAGCCCAGTCAACCCGGTCATGAAACCCGAAGGAAGGAAGAACTTGAAAGGAGCCGACCAGTGGTCCGATGAGGACGGGCTGCGACACTTACCGCAGACCAACGACTACCGTGTGGTCAACTCCCTGAACGAAGCGAAGGCAGGGGCGATGCCCTTTCAAGAGACCATACTGCAAAATCTCCAAGGGAAGCAAGCGATGGGTGTCATCGATCTACCCAAATGAATCTGGCAATTTCCTCTATACGAAGACAGTTGGGACATGCTCTCGTTCATGCTGAACTGATGCGTCTACACACCCAACCGCATGATGCACGGACACGTCGATAGCGCCTTATACGTCCAGTCAACGAACGAGGAGTGCTACGAAGATCTGCTCTACATGAACATGCTGATCTGGATCGACGACATCTTTGTTTTTGCCGATGATGTGCCGAAATACCTCGACTCGTTGGAGAAGTTCTTTGACCGCGTTGACCACTATGGGTTCAAACGCAGCCCAAAGAAGACCAAGCTGTTCGCGAGCGAAGTCAAGTGGTGTGGCCGTATAATTAGCGGCTAAGGTGTGAAACAAGATCCCAATCGCATGAACAACTCTGTGCTATCCCATACCCGACGCACGCTGGCGAACTTCAACTGTTTGTGTGCGCGATGAATTGAATGAGAGATTCAATGACGGAGTACGCGCAGACGGTCAATCCCCTACAGCTGTGCCTGAACAAGGTGCTGGAAGGAAAAGGCAAGAAGTTACACATCGCGTCAGGAATTCAGGTGGAATTATCCGACGATGAAAAGCGAGCGTTTGATGCT